CCAAAACGGACAGAAGAACGACGGAACACTTCTTCAGGGTGTCAGTGTTCATGGCAACACTTTTTGATATGTTATCAGATCAGGGACTTCCAGACAACCAAGATACAGAAATGATATGTTGAATGCGAAATATGAGTGCAACCCCAACAATTGCTATCAGCCATGGATACAAAAACTGAAAGATGTTTGGAAAGCAAGGCAGGATGTCACTGTCAGATTTATGAACACTTTTGTGGAACAAAAGAGAAGAATCTCGAATAATTTAGTTGCACTTGCAGCGTGCCACATGGCTATCTAAACTACAAAACCCAACCCATTGCTGAGCAAGGCCTTTATCTCTCCGACGCGCGGGAATTCACAATAAATTGAGGTCTGATCGTCTCTCGTACAGCGTTCGATGTCCTGTGTGAAGGTTAAATGGAGATATCCTCTGGATCAGGCGTGAGTTCGAGTGTTATCAGGATTATTTCTGTAGTAGTGGAACAGCAATACTAAGGTAATGGGACTACTGCGGGACCCTCTAGCGGCCAAACCGTGTTAACAAAGCCGCAAGTCAAGTTCGGTGAACGGTAGTTAAAAGGCGCTAAGGGACAAAGTCAAATTGGGTAGGGTGTTGCAGTTAGATAGCCATGTGGCACGCTGCAACTAAATCTTCGAGATTCTTCTCGAATAATGTTCAAGCTTGATGTTCAACTTATTAACGGAGAAAAAGACGATTTATAAAGGAGCAACCTAACATTCTACTACTCCCATTTCTTAAGACGTCCACTACATGATGTTGCTCCTACCAAATTGACTTAATGTCCTCTTAAGCGCTTTTAACTACCGTTCACAACCGAAACTTGGACTGCGGCTTTTGTTAACAAGGTTTGCCGGTAGAGGGTCCGCAGTAGTCCCCATTACCTAGTATTGCTGATCCACTACTTAGATCATTACTATAAAAAATACGCAGCCATCTTTTCTAGGATGAGTTATTACACAGATTTACTTTACACACTTTCATCGCTAAGATATAGTAGTCCTTCTGCAAAAATCCCCAAAAGAGGGGGTCTTCAATTCTACGTCGATTTAGATGAATTATAATTTATAAATAAGTGGTAGTATACGTCACTCCCGACGAAAATTCCTCCAGAAACAATTTAATTTATTATTCAGGGATTCCAGTTTGTATGATCAGTATAAACTATGAGTATAAGAACGAATATTTGGCAATTCCCAAAGGTTCTGTTGAGCAAAAGAGTCTTGTGGATACTGTGCTTGTTTGGAATATCAATGTACCTGATAACACTAGTGGTCATTGAAAGCCAAGCAAATATTTCATTTCACGAAGCAGAGGAATCGTGGTCTGAGAAAATCAAAAGGATAACCAGAACTGAACACTTGAAATTCGGAGAATGGGTTGCTGTCCAAACCCGGAAAGAAAATAAGCTAAGCTACAGGATTCAGTTTTCTAGATGGGGTAACTGCATAGGCTCTTCAAGTTCTAACTCTTCTTATCTCGAAGTTATATATATATATTATATTATGTCAAGAAAATATCTGAGAGGTCTAAAGGAGAGATTTCATGGTACAAGGTTGAAGATAAAACTTGCGACTCGCACACACGCATTTTCTGGAAACCCTAAGCTTCATAAGACCCCTTACAAGGCGAGTTCATTGCAGGTGCCCGTTTTTTTTTTTTGCGTTACGAAAACAACTAACGTCCAAGTTAACTGTTGTCGAAACTTTTGAGGAAATACTTCAAGAAATACTGCGAGGCAATCTACAACAACAGCGGTATAAACATGTTTTGGAGCAAGATTCCTCAAGTGAATTCCTTGCACTATCAAAAATAGGCGATGTTTATAATATACAAGTATATTATTTTACTTTACTACTCTTTATACCAGATTAGACTTGATTGAAGTAGAGAATAAGATTATGAAGTTGTTGATTTAATATTTCAGACCGTAATAGATATATGAGTATTCTAAAAGAGACAGTAATACATGTTTCTTTTCCAGTAAAACCTATGAATGTCATGCCTGCTTTAGTCCAAGATGACCTAAAAAGAGCGTTAAAATTATTATTTATAAAACTTTATTTCCGTCTTCGTTGGATTGTAATCATACAAACCAAGGGTATTCTATGGGTGGAAATTCAAGTTCCCCTATAGCTGATCTCACTGTTGGCAAAAAGGAATTTAATTATATGAAACGTTTACTTTCAGAAAAGAAAATGGGATTAGCAAGATAGGTTCGGGATGTCGTGCAATGCAGGATAAACGATAGTTGACGATTTATCTATATTAACTATCTTTACTTTCATAAATTGATTAAAGATATTTACCGAATTCATTGGAGATGGAGCGAGCTGGTTTCCAATAAGAAAATCATTAATACCTTGAGTTAAATATTAATATTGGTGGGGTCCAACGGAAGGACTAGAATATCAGTGTATAACAAAACTGATGATTTTAATTTTCATGTTGTATCCATTTCATTTTCTCACAGTAGACATCCCAACCGAAGGTGGCTACAACGTGTTTTCACGTCAAGTTCTTAGATATGGTAATGTTTGCCACTAGAATTGGATATCTTTACCTCCCATCTTCACAAAATATTCAAATTCTAATTGATAGAGGATATAGCCGTGATAGACTGATTAAAGGCATTAAACGTTGTGTGAGGAAATATGATAACGTTTCAGAAGTTCGGTTTTCTAATGACCGTAACATTATTTAAAAGAACTCCCCTGAGATCTCTGATTTATTGAAACACGGTACTAACTCTGCTAAAAACGAACAAATTCCTGAACTTAGGAGAAGTGTACAACCGTGCTAAACCGAAGTTCAGACTGTCCATGGAAAATGGGCGAGCGTAATAACCAGTGTCATTTTAATTAGAAGTTTAAGTCAGTGATATTATTGAAGCTTGTAATGACAATACTAATGCTCCATAAATCCTGTTAATAATTAATTTTTGTCCCGTTATTCTTTTTCCTTCTCCTTTTCTTGTCATCCCCCTTTAGTTTTTAAGTTCTTGCTATAAATGGCACCAGCTACCCTATTAATGCTAAGTATCCAACAACAAGTGGGAAGGTGGATCGTTGTACCATTAAATCGATATTACACACCGCAATTCCAGTCGCAAGCCTGGGACACTACTAGCATAGTCACACATCTACTAAAGCCGCCTTAATAGCCTGACTGACAAATTTTAACTCGACATGACTGACAATGTTTCTTCTTTTTTCCCCTTTAGAAACAAAGAGTAGTGACATGTAAAGTTAGCTTATGATTAATATTATCATTTTACCTAAGGTTTAGTTTACTTAGATTCTGGTGACCACGAACGGATAAGCAGAAACATTTAATTGGAACAAAGACGGTAGTTTGGTATCTGAAAAGACTGGAGGATGTTTAGAAATCAAGGATACGGCTAAACTCAATCAAACGTTCCAGCTGAAATTGGGGGACTGCAGTGGGGAAATCGCTAAATTCACATACGTGAATGAGTCTTATCTCCAACTTAATTTAGATGCTGCACTACAAGATACCCAACTATGTCTGTCTCCTGTTAACTCATCGGAGACAGCTCCATTGGTCATTTATGACGAGAAGGCACAACTAGGAAGTTCAGTTGGTCTTCAATTTTGTCATGAAAATGCGTCCCAGCTGACTTTCATCGAGAAAAGTGACTTCAGAGAAAAACGAAAGGCTCTGCTATTACCACAGCCAGCAGATGGAGATCCTAATTGTGACTTTCCAGCTTGTGCAATCAACGCCAAAACTCCACCAGTGAAGCTCCTACCACTGGAAGTATGGTCCAGGTGTGACAACATCTCTGAATGTGTCACAATAGTCACAAAAACAGCCAGAAGGCCTGAGTTGATCTTGAGAATGGTTCAATCATTCAGAAGAGAGAAGGGGTATGATCTACCAACCATCGTATATGATGACGGAGGAGAACCCTACCCAGCAGACCCTGATGGTGTCATGGAAAGTTTATCCGACTTCCCTGATTTGAGGTACATTGTTGGTGATAAAGAGGACCTGGGAATAGCTTTAGGCAGAAATCTAGCGATTCAACAAGTCAGGACCAAATATTTTTTGCTGTTTGACGACGACACAGTCATCACTGAACGTACAGATATTGAACAGTTGGTTAAGATTCTAGACACAACCGATGCTTCATTGGTTGGCGGAAAGTGTTCTGGTTACCGACATTTTGCTGGATTTCTACATTTTTCTCAAGAGTATCACCATGGTACGGACAATAGGGGTCTTTCTTTATACAGTCGTGGCTGTAATTATGCAAATGAAACTGTTGTCAATTTCCCGTCGTGTGTACGATGCGATTTGACTAGTAATGTATTCATGGCAAAAACAAAGGACATCTTAGAAGTTGGCGGTTGGAGCGAAGAACTGAAGATAGCAGAACACAAGGATTTATTTTTGAAGCTTAAAGCTGCGAAAAAGAAGGTTGTCTACTGCCCAGACTTTCAAGTGAAGAATGCCAAAGAAAGCGTCGAATCCAAGAAAGCCTCAGGCTACTACTCGCTAAGACTAGAGCGGTACGGCCGAATGAATAGAATGTTTAATAATATTTGGAATATAGATGTATTCAAGATGAGAGGCCTCGAAAGATTCTCCAGAGATAAAGATATATTGATCTGGGGTAATGTTACTGAAGATTGAGGTAAGAAATGTGTTTTCCGTCTAAATAAGCTGAAGAGCAACAAAACTTGATAATATGTTAATTTAACGTGATTGACTTGACATGTAAATGTCAATGATCATGATGATTTACCGAAGATTCAAAGTAATCTAGATATCAACAGTACCACTTTATGCTACCACTTTAAATGGAGATTATTTTACGGGGCTGGCTGGTTGATAATATTGTTAATTTACAATTAAATTAATGATTATCCCTATTTTTTTATTTTTTAATTCGAACAAAATGTGTAATATGTTGTCCTCGAAGCATTTCATGTTTAATAAATAAAAGAAATACCTATAGTTAACTTGAATTCAATTCACAGAATTTAAATACATACATATAAAGTAACTTCAGAATATTTGCCATACAACATATCGGAAAATATAACAACTGCGTTTCAATTAAATAACAAGATTGTTTGACAATCATTAAAGTTTAGTTTATATTTAAATTCATCTAGAAAGATGAACAACAAATTAAATTCGTCGATCGTCGTGTAAAACGAACTTCACCTTAGTGAAAAATTAAAGTCATAACTTGGCTAAATGATTAATTCAAATCCAGCACCAATGGCAATAATAGAATGCGGAAAGCACATCTTAAAGTTCCGCTTTTATGAAACTCTTTTTCCAACTCATGGTAGACTCTTTAGGGTTGATTTGAGCTTTCTTTTTCTTTCCAAACCAGCCGCCACTTCTGTCATTAGCATCTCTTTGTTCTTTTGCAAAGTTTAGGAATACCTGCACGTGATTTGGAGGATAACACTGAGTAATTATATGAATAAAACAACTGATACTGATAGTCTTAATATTATTTTAGGCTGACTGAAGCATATTAACGATCGGAAAATTTGATAACATAATAAATATATGACCCCTTGTCAATTAATTACATTTTATAATCATAAATCATGACACATTTATTTATCATAAAAACTAACAACTCCATATTATTGTCAATTCATTATTTGATTTAAAATTGTACCTGTTCTAAAGACGTCTGAGCGACAGAATAGTCGTTGAGGTTAATGGCACTTTTATTTGTTTCCATAATCTCAAATATGTAGCTCCATTTGTAATTTGTTCCTAGACTGAACATCAGGTAACCTGAAATTATCTTACTTGTTAGTAATGTTCTAAAATATTAACCATTCGCTTGTGTAGTGGCAAGGAAAGATTAAATTGATTAAAATTTCAATAGTTTCAACAATAAGATAATATGTAATATGAATTCCTTAGTTCGTATATTTATGGCAGGTAATATTGTGGTGGGTAAAAATAATGGCGGATAAAATTAAGCGGATTTTCCGAAAATCATTATGCCATATATCCAGAACTCCAAAATCTGTTCGGCGGGTTTTATTTAAATGGCGGGTAAAAATAAAAATATGGTGAAAATTCCAAAAAACCGTCATGATTAAACTAACTACCGTATAAGGTATAATAAATAATTTAAGATTATATTCGCATTCTTGATGAATCTTGAGTCCTGACGAGAAAGAAATAGGTTCGCAATCCGATATAAAACCATTTTTTATTCGTCAGAATTATTTCTCGTCTGAAAAAAAGCATATACGCCTCCATCCCTATCTTCCAAATCATTCCCGTTTACTAACTGACCTATATGACGTCACTGACATGTATGACGTCACTGCCTGTATTACGTCACTGCCTGTATTACGTCACTCACTCACCTGCATGACTCTCTTTCAGAACTGCGCCCACGAACTGGGACGCAACAAAGTTTATGATATTCTCCTGGTCCGCTGGCTCCATGAGAAGACAGATGGTGTATCCCTGACTGGAGGTATTCTTTCAGCCGCTTGGGTGCTAACCCAAACACGGCAAGCTCGTGAACCTGAACATATTTGGTTACTACTCTTCAATTTGATAAAAAGTGTTGTTGACGATTTCATATCGTAACAAAGGATTGTCCCAGTTTTAGGTTTTATATGAACATATTATCGTGCCTACGGGTATTTGCCTCACAGGATGGCCAACAAAAAAAGGGTGGTCTCTCATATCACAAAAACACACTTTATTCCGTTTTTACTCTTAAGAAGCTAAGTTGACACTCTTATTTTTCTTCCCGGGTTCATTTAATTCGCATAAATCATTTTTCTTTGAGAAAAATTGACCGAAAATCTTCCTCAAAAAAACATGCCTCACAGAATGCCAATCTGAATTCTATAATTTTGTTGATGGAGATACTTTTTAAAAATTTTCTATCACCACACGTCATAGAAAACCTATTAAGGAATGGGGTAATTACCTAAAACTCACGAAAAACACTGAGCTGGAAAAATTAATTCACAAAAAAGAAAAAATGCCTGACAAAATGCAAAAAAAAATAGAAAACGGAAAATTTTATTTTCCAAAACCTTGGCTCTTGTTTCAGTGCATGCGCGTATTAATATCTGGTTAACACCCCCATATAGGTGAAATTTTCTTAGAACTGATTAAAAAGGGCATAATTTTCCTACACCAAAAATGCCATTTGGGGTGGCGTTGTTCATATTCCTGATTTCATGATTTATTAACTTCATTCGGCGGTAAAAACAACTCCATCTGGGTTGATATTGTATGTTAAATAGCTTGGCATACTTTTAGACTTATGTGTTTCAGTGAATTAAAAGGAGTTTTTTAAATTTTGGGCCATTTTGTGAGAGGGTCATGGATTTTGCCATTTTGTGAGGCGTGTAGCCATTGTAGCATTTTTTTTCTTCCTATATTGAACAAATGTTCGTTTTTGGGTTGGATGAATACTATTCTTTAACATCTTCTGTCATACTGTGCCTGAAGTTCTCACCAAATGTAAACTTAGTTTAAAAAAAATCTGAAAACCAATTTCAGTGCTCAAAATTCTACAAAACAGTCATATTTATGGCCAGAAAATGTGGTCCTAGTTAATGATTTCACCACAGGAAGTGTTGCCAGAAGACTTTGTTTTCCATATGGTATCCCCAAAACTACCAGGTCTTTTAATAAAAAAATTAGTTACAAAAAAATTTACAAATTTCTCTCAGGGCCATTCTGTGGAGGCTAGCCATTCGGTGAGGCATTTACCCGTAACCTATATGGAGCACTGAAAGGAAGCCGTATTTAAACGGAGAATGTCCGGTAATACAAGTAACTAACCATAATAACAATACGAGTACACAGTGCTCACATACCACCAATAGAATGGAGTTAGAACAATACTGCAACCTGGGAGGGAATATAGTTACTGGAGTGAATATTGTTCAGAAATAAGGAGAAAACTGAACAGATAACACTGTTCAGTCAACACTATATAATAATTATTATAACTATACTAATAATATTATACGTGTAGCCTGGGGGGAATATACTATAAGTGGTCCCGTCGTCCAGACTCCCAAACCTCATTCTTCAGAACAAAAAAAATACAGGTTCCCGCCTAGTATAACACTACAAGAGGACAATCACAGCTTCCAGGTATGAAAAGTAGAGCGAGTAAGATACAGTGGTAAAGTTTTAACTCACCACTTTCGCGAAGAAAAGACAGTACATCCCAGAGGAAACGTACCGACAGTGGGGGTCCATACCAGCAGTTGTTCGTCCAGGAAATAAGTGTGGGATCCGATTATTTGCTAAACCGGTCGACAACTTCCTCTTGTTTCCTGTAGTTAAATAACAAATAACACGTGTACTTACTAATCGAGGATACTTTCGAAAAATCGTGTACTAGGCCGAAAATACAATTTGTTAGTACTAAGGGCCTAACTTGATTAAAGAGATTTCATCTTTGAACGTAGAACAACCTACACTTTAACTATGCTAAATTAAGGCTGAAAGTGAAAGTGAAACTCATGAAAGTGAAAGTCACGTGTGAGCAAGAACTAAGTGTCCTAGATGTGATTTCTCACTTTTCTAACCTCCACTATAGGATCTACATTCCTTCTCAGCGTGATCCTCAAGGTGAAACATCCTGATAACTCTTAACCACTATCATCTAAAGCAAGTAGGGCACCCCTCTAAAGTTAGCAACTTTCCATAACTGCACGGCCCGTTAGGTCCCGCAAAGTTGTAGAGTTAGAAAAGATCTAGTACAAGCCTCCCCATAACTTTCGTGAGGAAGCATACCAACAAATACATAATCATTAATCATAATCATGTGTAATGAAAATAAATAAAGTAATAACATAAAAAGACATGACTTCAGTCACAAAGAGAAGATAATGAAATTAATCAAGTTTTCATCCTTATTTGATATCCCAACCTATAAGAGCGTCGAAACTGAGGATCAAATATCCGATAAAACACTGAGCACTCCTCAGGTTCCTGGTGACTTCATGACCGTACAAATACCCTTTTCCTGACGATCATCACCGTGTCACCTGTCATCATATTGAATGTTGTGGTTTTTGTTCCTGCCCCGTTGACCCCTAACAAAAACCAAAACATTCTCCCTTAGCGATGGCAAGAGAAAGGTTCTGAACAGCGGTCATATTCCCGAACTGACGATGAAGGTTCTGCATCACTACACTCTCTGACTCAACCAAACTTGCAAAGTTTTCGTCCACCTGATTGAAAAACTAAGATCAACAAAGTCTTTCTAACTTGATAAACAACTTTTAAATGGCACTCCAAAAACAGAAAAATTATAAACACTTCAGCATGTTTCCTCGTACCCTAGTTCTTTCACTGGTCACATTATCATCCTCAGCTTCACACGGCCATTATGGCTGTTTCTGCTGCATATTAATTGGCAAATGAATTGGCTCACTTCATTCAGTTTATGCCCGAATAACAAACCACCACGTTTCAATAATTAGCAAGGAACCCAGGTAGAGTATCGCCGTGAGAACCAGCGCCAGAACATGACGTCCAATTCCATACCCATTAAGTGCGAACAAGGCTGAAAGTGTACATTCTTTATTTAAACAATGATAAGGAAGTTAATTTATTATAAACACTCAAAATACAACCCGGTACAGGTTGTTCTTTATTCTCATTCTTACACTTACAGTCTGGTTTTGAAATTACACACGAGACGGCTCCTCCGATATCGCTGACCTCTGCCACACATTCTTCATACGCCAAAGATTGGGAACGTAGCATCATTAGGTTATCTGAAACCAGAATACTCTACAAATTCGAAAAATCAAAAATAACATTCTTAGTACTGGGTTCCACTGGTCTTGGACCGCTAAAAGAGAGACTTTTCTTTCGCAGGATTGGCGACTAGAGATTATTGATTATTGATTTAGTGATTATTGTCATTAGAAATGTTATTAGCTCTGATAAGTTATTATTGAACCGCTAAAAGAGAGAGTGACTACTTACAGGTTGCCGCCGCAAACGCATAATGAGGGTGAAGGAGAAGAGCTCGGTCGATGTACATTACAATATACTCGCTACCACCAGTGGCAGTACCATCCTGTCCGCTTAATTTGGCCAAAGTTCTGACTTTCTCGTAAAATGGGTAAGCAAGCATGTAGATAAGTATCCTAAAATGATAGATAATAGTAAGCTGTGGAAATTCCTGGGAATGATTTGATATGGTGCTCATATATGTTTGAAAGTATTGATAGGTACAGTTAGGCAATACTGGGTACTCTATTCCAGTGGACTCAAATCTAGGTGCAGAGAATCAGTATGGGATCAGCTGACTAACCCAACGAGGGGAAAGAGTAGAAAGAACATGGTGACAAAACTGTAAGCGGTGGATGTCTCTCGAACAAATAGAGGAGAGGATGTAACTAGTGGGAAGCTAGCAAGTCCGGCCAGAATAATCATCAGGAAGAAGGAAGCACAGTATTCACCTTCAGTCAAACCAGTCACCTGTGGCATGGTGTATGATACAAAATTCAGTCATTTTGATACCAAGTATGAAATGAAATAAATGAAATGAAATGAAATGAAATAACGTGCTTGTATACCGCCCATATGGTTAGGTACTAACCATGTCAGAGCGGTTTCTAAAGGGCCAGGGTGAGGTGAAAATATCCAGCAACAAACAACTACATCATCTCAAAAACAAATCTATTCAGAAAATATAACTTTAATTATATCATTTAGTAATCATAGGAAGTTTTATTGATATATACCACACTACGATTAACAATATACCACCAAAAATCACTTAAATAGATTCATATAGGAATCATAGGAATATTTATTGATATATTACACACTAGTAATAGGAAACAGGACGAGATAGAAGTAAGGTCACTTAAAATTAATCATTGTTCAATAAATTAATTTTGATTGACAGATGATAAATTTTAAATTTTACCTGGAATGCAAGGATGAGGAAGAATATGAGAAGAGAGCAGAGGAAATAGACCAGGAAATCCCAAGTAAACATGGACAGCCAGTACAACCGAACTGTTAACCCAGAAATCTCTGTCAGATGCTTGCCACTTACCTCGTCCTCTCTTCTACTGGGCCCTAGTTAGAAAGTTAGTTAAAGGTGACTAAATCAACATGATAACGTCTGTAATTATCAAACAAAAAATGCGCTTGGAAGTGCTTGATATAGACTGAATTTGAAGATCTGTGCACTAGACGTGGTTATATAAAATGGTTGTTTCCCAACTATCATGCACATCAGCTACTGACACATCAGACATGCAACCCCCCCCCCCACCCCCCCCTCCCCCATAGTAGACGCTGCACCTACCTGAGTAAAGGCTGCGTACATAAACGCTCCTGCAAATATGTAAACCATGATTAACATGACTTTCTGAGGATCATCAGATATAATATCAACTTTATTCTCCTCCTCATCTTGTAATTCTGGAAGAGGTTCATTTGAAGCTGTCACTGTTATATCTATGTCGTTCATTTCCAGGATCAAGTTTGTGATGGCTGATTGGAAAGCAGGAATCAGATGAAAGCCTTCGTGGCTTACCCAACCGGATATAAACATCCCCATTAGCATCAGTGATATTGTCATCAGAAGACAGTTTAACTAGGTTTTCGCTATCACCGTTATAGCCAGTTTGTATCTGTGGATACAGATTCTGTTAAATATTTTATAGTAATCAATTAATAATGTGCAATTGCGATAGTTGGTGTTAAATGTATCAAAGCTCCTGGCATTGATTCTCCTTAGACAATGGGAAGGCAACTCAAACAACTGGTACTTCTTGTCAAGAGAACTAGTGCTTCTAGTAAGTAACAAGAAACATTTGTTCAACACAAGATATAACAACAATTATTATAATATTATCAATTCGATATAATCGATATCTTGAAAGTATATTTATATACTTTTAAGATAAGTTTATAAACTTTATTACTAAATTGTACTTTAAAAATATTCGACCATATTCTAATGTACACGTAATAAAATTTACCTCAGAGGCAGAGAAAGGGGCAAGTTCTTTTCGAGGTCCTTCTCACTTGTTTGACCCTGTTGGCATTTAGTTTTCTCCGTGGTACTTCAATGTTCGAAACACAGGAACAATGCATGAGTGAGTATCTGGAAGTTATTTTATTTTCATTTCGTTTTCTATAAAATTCGATTTCTTTACGATAGAAATGACACGTATTATAACTCGTATTATATGTGTATTGTTACGATACAAAATAACACGTATTATAACACGTATTAAATGTGTATTGTTACGATACAAATGACACGTACAGGAGGTGCCGGGATTGTCAATTTTGAGCTATCCTGGTCCGGTCCCGGTCCCAGTCAAAATTATGCTGATTTATTTATATTTATGATCCCGGTCCCGGTCCCGGTCCCGGTTAATTCGGGATTCTTGGTCCCGGTCCCGGGTCCCGGTCAATCACTCAAATTTGCCGGGATTTTGACCGGGATCTTTTACATAATTTCATTCACTGTGATTTTAAGTTTTTCCTTTCATTCATTGTGATTTCATCTTTAAACATCCTCTGAGCCAAATACAACAATGTTTAAAATTGCTAAACAAGTTTGAGTAATAAATTATGATCATGAATTAACCAGTTATCGACCGGAATTCCCGGTACCGGGAATCCCGGTACAGGGATTGGCAATTTTGAGCTATCCCGGTCCCGGTCCCGGTCCCGGTCAAGTCACATTTTTCATCCCGGTCCCGGTCCCGGTCCCGGTAAATTGATAATATCAGGGGATCTCAGTCCCGGTCCCGGTCCCGGTCCCGGTCAAGTCACATTTTGTATCCCGGTCCCGGTCCCGGTCCCGGTCAGGCCTGAAATCATGTCCCGGTCACCTCCTGGACACGTATTATAACACGTATTATATGTGTATTGTTACGATACAAATGACACGTATTATAACACGTATTATATGTGTATTGTTACGATACAAATGACACGTATTATAACTCGTATTATATGTGTATTGTTACGATACAAATGACACGTATTATAACACGTATTATATGTGTATTGCTACGATACAGATGACACGTATTATAACACGTATTATATGTGTATTGTTACGATACAAATGACACGTATTATAACACGTATTATATGTGTATTGCTACGATACAGATGACACGTATTATAACACGTATTATATGTGTATTGTGTATATTACCACCCTGATGTCAGCTCCTGTTTCAGAGCCCTCTTCGTTATCAGATCCTCTTCACGATATTTGGGGTGAAAAGAAAATGATCGCAATATCTCCTGCCAACAATAATCTAGGTTTTAAAGTCTAGGTTCTCAGACTCTTCTAGTCTCTCTTTTCTAGAACTGATATCAAAATGAAGAATGAAGAAGTTGATGCTTTATTTCTTATTGCTACAAATAGAATTGGTCGATTATTCACCTAAGCTGTATAGTGTATAATGTATACTGTATTGTGTATACTGTATAGGGTATAATTTATACTGTATAGTCTATACTGTATAGTGTACAATGTATATTATATCATAATTTGTATGTAATAATTTCAACAATATATTATAACTTTCAGTCGATGATTTGTCGAGTAGAATGTTGACCATGGATACTTTCAAGTTCTCAGATGTTACAAGGAAAGTACTAGATTCAGAAAATATTACCGACGAAATCAAGGAATTTAGGGACGGGTATGTACATGATACAGAATACTGCTGGTCAATTGAAAGATATGAGCTGTTTTTTGTACAATTTAAAAGATACTGACCGTAATTAGTTTTTGCTGTATTTCCATCGGCTTTAATCTTTTAATTACATCAATCTAACGCCAATAAAGCGTCCATCCATTTACATGGTTATAAAATGGTTTGAATAACACAATTTCCAACGTAAGTGTAAAGATGATTCAATTTTCTTTTCTACGATCGATCAAGATGAGTAATCGTAATCAGAAACTTTCACAGCAATTCGAGGTATCTAGTTGTATTCCCAACCAATGACAAATTTAAAGAATACTTGAAAACGAACTCAACAGAGTTCAAAGCAGCTATTGTTTTTGAAGGGGATGAGAAGAATATATCCTACTCCATCCGGTACCACAGAGCGGATGCTGGTGAGTTTTTAAATTTGTCTATTTCAGAAGAGGTTTATCTTTAGAGCTTTAGGATTCAAATTTCAAATGATGAGAAAATACACTAATTATATTTTAATTTAGCAGATTATCTGCTTAATATAACTTTCTGAAATAGTAATATAACCATCTTAATTAAACTCCTAGACAATATAGACATTGACGGATACTGGAACACAGAAAGATTGTTTCTTCGTAAGCCTGATCAGAAAGAAATTACGTCCTCGTAAGTTTGAAAAAACTCCATTTTGTGGCACCTCAGAAGTGGGGCTAGACAGTAACATTACGTATTATTTTAAGACTCGAGACTTATTTTTCGTCGAAATGACTCGTCCGTTTCGTCCGCATATGATGCGGATTTCTCGTTACATTTTACAACGGTCATAATATACTCAATTTCGTTATTCAGTGTTAATACAAATATTGTAAATAATCTTACACTTTTTTAATCTAGACCATACGACAATACGGGGTTCGCTGCTTTGCAGAGATTAATTGACTCCTGCATTCTTCTGAGAGAAGGAGTGGAGTACAATCCAGCAATCGCTATAAGGGTATTGTTATTTGTTAGGGTACCTACCTTTTGTTATCATCACCATTTATCTTGTCTTTCAACTAGTAACGAATTCGGATTTTAGTTCAATTAGATATCTCAACCTTCGTCCTACTGATCTTCCATTTAAATGATGCCGATTTTTAACACAACAGAAAATTAACATTTGAATAACACAACCAGAGTGTACCTACACCGGCAGAGAAGACAGATACCTTTGTGGATATGATGTTCCCAATGTTAATCCCTGTCTCAATGCTCATCGGGGCATTCCTCATTACTTCCTCTATTGCAGCAGACATTGTCGAGGTAATCACCCGGCAGCTGGTTTTAAATTATACCAGTTTCATTCTTAGTTGTTTGCGTTATATAATCATCAGTTAGTTAGTTTCTATTATAAATAGACGAATACATTTTGTTATTATTACACGCGTCGACAGTAAAAACATGCTCCAAAACTATATAATTTTCAAGATGTGTAAACATTTTAAGTTTTTCTCCGCTCCACTTGGTGATCGTTTTTCATGAAAAGCTCAGAGCTAAACAGATCTTTATCTTAACATACTTGTAGGGTTGTTAGGTGCAATTGTGACAATTAATGCAATCAGGGGTCGTTCACATATTACGTAATCAATATTTTAGCAATTCTTACCCCCTCCCCAGTCCCCCTCCGTAATCAACCGTAATCAAGACCCAACCCCCCCTCCTGACAGCAATATTGCGTAATCATGGCCATAATATGTGAACGACCCTCAGTGGCAAAGTGACACTTTTTATCATCGGAAACATTTTAAACAGAACATACATGATCACAGAATAGAAAGAATATTTAAACAGTAATGTAAATTTCTATTGTTTGTCGAAACTTCTCAAAGAGTGTAAATATTCGAGCTATTTATATGGGATACCAAAACACAGAGATGTGGTACAGTTGTACCTATAAAATATGGTCCCGTAAAAGCAAGATGAACAATCAAAATATGATTAAATATAGCACAGCGTTCTACTTCTCTCAAACACCAATTAACAACTTTCAAACTCAGGGGCTGTTAAATATATTGAATAATGTGTTAATAACACATCAAAACACAGCACAATAGCAGTGCCTGAAGCTGCAATGCACATAAACACGAAATGCATGCAGCTGACTTTAAAAAGTGAACAATAATCAGACCATGAATTGTACTTGTAGTCTATAATGTCATTCAATTTAATCGTGATTATGTTCACAAGATCAAGACATATGGAAGCAAGGAAATTTAATTTGGTTCAGTTCATAAAAAATAAGTCTTAGTTCACAATCCTTTCAGTTCAAATTCATCAAAAGTTACCAGCTCGGCTGTTTCCTAAGTTCATTTTATCCAGTTTAGGTTTTCATGTCTAATATCTTCACAGCTTTGTCTCAGTTTCATTGCTCGTATTCGCTATCACCCCAGAAGGACTGCTTGCTCTATTTGGGAGGATCCTAACAATCCACAACCTCATTTCCCTCATCCTCAAAACATAGAGCAGTGGGTTTAGAGAAGCGTTTAGGACCGTACAGAAGATTCCGCTTAGAAGCCAGCTGTAGGAGGACATAAAATAGTTGTCGTATATTGAATATGAGTATATCTTGGCCGTCACCATGGTGTAGGTGAGAAGAAAGCTGTCAACGAAAGTGAAGCAATTGCAACAGAGGAAGAGGGCTGTAAAATAAGTAATGGTGATGGAAGCGTGTTGATTTCTCCTTTGGGACACATTGTTTGCGACAGGTTCCTTCCGGAGCATAACAATGGAGACAAGAAACGTCAGAAACACGATGATTGGAGGAATTCCCAAACAAGCGCTGTAGTTGAACATGTAGCAGATTACCAACGATGGAGATTCTGGTGCTTCACTAGTTGACAGAGTGATGGTGCAAGTAATCTGGGTAAAAAGTGTAGTGTTCCAAATACAGTGGTATATGAGGTAGAGAGCAATGGACACAAGAACTGCTCTTTTGTTGACTTTGTAGAAAGGGTACTTTATGACAATCACTCGTGATAACGACAGTGTCATAACCACGAATATGGAAATTTGTTGAAGCAAGGAGAGGATGGAATGCCAAATCGAGCAGATAATTTTGTTGTCGAGTAAACCAGGATTTCTGTTTTTCAGCAAACTAAAAGCAACTGGAAGGTGGATGACGGAGGAACCTATATCGATAGAGCAGGCAACTATGTAAAGAAGAGTTGAAAGATTTCGTTTCTTTGTGTGGAGGAAATATTTCAAAGCTAGACAGTTTCCCGGTAGTCCGATCACTAAGCAGACCAAGAGCCCGAACGCTATCAACCCATCATAAATTCTGCCTTGAGTTTCCAGAATGAGAGTATTATTCATCCTCAAACTTAGAATCAGCGTAGATTGAATCAATATAAATTATAAGGGCAGTTTCTCGGACTACTTTAAAAATATTTGAAGCTGCGGCTCACTGGCCCACGTTTACTTTTATTTATATATAAGTTAAGACACCGGTAGTAAAACAATTAATGAGTAAACAACTCATAAGCCGAGGCACGGGTGCGCTAAGAGACTGCGTCACCATGTGATTAAGATCTGTACTGAACATGTTGAGCACGGAAAACGTTTGCAGGTGATCTAATATTAAATTAAACGTTGAAACATCATGTGTAATACAGGGACGTAGCCAGGATTTTTCTTTGAGGGGGGCTGTCGGCGAGCGAAGCGAGCCGACGCGTCCAATCAAGCTGTGGCAGGGGTCTGGGGGCGCAGCCCCCAGCGGGGTCCAGGGGCGGAGCCCCTTGGCGGGGGCTAGGGGGGCACAGCCCCCCGGAAATTTTTTGTGAAACAGGGTGTTTTAGACGACATTTGGCATTAAAGAAATTTGTAGGACAGCAATAAACTGGGATTGAAAAGAATCAAGTACTCACGTAAATTTGGTAACTTCACAACAGCAATCTGCATTCTCCAATCAGAATTTACGACTTACTCAGGCCTCATCGTCTTAAGATTTTTACATTTCCTACGGTCTAGGGGACACTATTGACTATAATTATAGAAGTCTTCTAGAATGTTTGCTTGGATTTAATGACATATATTTACTAATCCACAGTTCAAATCTTTGACTGACTGCAGTCATAAACACAGCCCAGTTACCAGGCGACCATGGGGACTAGGGGGCTTATCTTTTTTCTGGGGTTCGATTTTTTCCGGGGGGGCTGCCGCCCCCCTAGCCCCCCCCTGGCTACGTGCCTGGTGTAATATCACTTATCGTTGCTCTATCAGTTAACTTTAAGCTGTTTTTAGAGAACGTAGAGAAAATTGTCTACAGTTATTAAATTACTGTCTTTAATGGTTTCCAGGAAGTCAGAGGCTCTAAAAACTGGCGATAAACTGGGCTTTCATAATTGTCAAATTTATGTCTAGTAATAGTTTTGGCGTATTTGGGGTCCACAATCCTTTCAGTTCCAGTTCATCAAAAGTTACCAGCTCGGCTGTTTCCTAAGTTCATTTTATCCAGTTTAGGGTGTCATGGCTATTATCTTTACAGATCGGTCTCAGTTTCATTGCTCGTATTCGCTATCACCCCAGAGGCACTGCTTGCTCTATTTGGGAGGATCCCAACAATCCACAACCTCATTTCCCTCATCCTCAAAACATAGAGCAGTGGGTTTAGAGAAGCGTTTAGGACCGTACAGAAGATTTCACTCAGAAGCCAGCTGTAGAAGTACATAAAATAGTTGTCGTATATTGGACCCGGGTATATCTTGGCCGTCACTATGGTGTAGGTGAGGAGACAGCAGTTGATGAAAGTAAAGCAATTGCAGCAGAGGAAGAGGGCTGTAAAGTAAGTAATGGTGATGGAAGCGTGTTGATTTCTCCTTTGGGACACATTGTTTGCGACAGGTTCCTTACGGAGCATAGCAATCGAGACAAGAAACGTCAGAAACACGATGGTTGGAGGAATTCCCAAACAAGCGGTGTAGTTAAGTGTATAGAAGATTAAGAACGATGAAGATTTTGGTACTTCATTAGGTGACAGTCGAGTGGTGGTGCAAGTAATCTGGGTAAAAAGTGTAGTGTTCCAAATACAGTGGTATATGAGGTAGAGAGCAATGGACACAAGAACTGCTCTTTTGTTGACTTTGTAGAAAGGGTACTTTATGACAATCACTCGTGATAACGACAGTGTCATAACCACGAATATGGACATTTGTTGAAGCAAGGAGAGGATGGAATGCCAAATCGAGCAGATAATTTTGTTGTCGAGTAAACCAGGATTTCGGTTTTTCAGCAAACTAAAAGCAATTGGAAGGTGGATGACGGAGGAACCTATATCGATAGAGCAGGCAACTATGTAAAGAAGAGTTGAAAGATTTCGTTTCTTTGTGTGGAGGAAATATTTCAAAGCTAGACAGTTTCCCGGTAGTCCGATCACTAAGCAGACCAAGAGCCCGAACGCTATCAATCCATCATAAATTCTGTACTGAGTTTCCAGAAACAAAGTTTCATTCATTCTCAAACTTAGAATCAGTGTAGGGCTTAGGGCAGTTTGTCGGACTACTTTATCACAAACGTATGTTAAGACCTCTAAGTACTAAGTAAGCCGATAAATATTTAAAGCTGCGGCTCACTGGCCCACGTTTACTTTTATTTATATATAAGTTAAGACACCGGTAATAAAATAATTAATGAGGAAACAACTCATGAGCCGAGGCACGGGTGCGCTAAGAGACTGCGTCGCCACGTGGTTAAGATCTGTAATGAACATGTTGAGCACGGAAAACGTTTGCAGGTGATCTAATATCAAATAAAACGTTGGAACATCATTGGTCGAAGTTGTTAGAATTAGAGAACGCAACGTTGAGAAAAATGCTATGCTGCAAAATAAATAACATGGATAAATGTGAATCACTTACATTTTACCTTGCGGTAAATATGGGTCAACCTGTATTCCATAATCCACACTTCAATCCACCCCCAGGAAAAGTTTTCTAAAATGAGGGAAATTCAGCGAATGATGGGTCTGACTGACACCATAATGTGGCTGAGTTGGATTATCCAGAGGTCTCTCATTATAATCGCTTGTTCCGCCCTGAACGCCACAGTTCTGATGGTAAACTTACTTTCTACTTTATTTAATTAATTGGATAATTAGCTAATATAAACGAGTATCATGCCTTTGATTTTAGAATGCCCGGTCTTGTTATTCAAGCTAAACTGTGTACCATACTGTACCATATTAAGGGGGCAGGGGGGGGTCTTCATGGAAATTTTCTCTAAATCGACTTTTTAGTTGTTTCTGATAGAGGGGAGTAATATCTATCAGATGCTTTTGATCCCGTGGAAAAATATCGTTCCTAGCCGAAATTATTGCCGGTCATAGGTCAGCGCGTGTGTGTAATTGTATTGCGCGAGCGATTTTTGATCGCGTGCCCTGAAAATCGAGTCTAAAAATCTATCTTCTCCTACATTTTTTGAGCAATCACCCTGAAACTTTCAGGATATGTTCTAGGGATCATTTAGAAAAGATGAGCCGGGCAGAATTTTGAGATAGGCCTTTAAACATTTTTTATTTGATTTTGAAAATCTTGGACCTCGAAAAATCATCAAAAAACGAGGTCCAAGATTTTCAAAATAGAATAAAAAAATTTCAAAGGCCTATCTCAAAATTCTGCCCGGCTCATCTCTTCTAAATGATCCCTAAAACATATCCTGAAAGTTTCAGGGCGATTGCTCAAAAAATGTAGGAGAAGATAGATTTTTAGACTCGATTTTCAGGGCACGCGATCAAAAATCGCTCGCGCAATACAATTACACACACGCGCTGACCTATGACCGGCAATAATTTCGGCTAGGAACGATATTTTTCCACGGGATCAAAAGCATCTGATAGATATTACTCCCCTCTACCAGAAACAACTAAAAAGTCGATTTTGAGAAAATTTCCATGAAGACCCCCCCCCCTGCCCCCTTAAACCATATTGAACCATATCGTACCATATTGTACCATATTGAACCATATTGTACCATTTTGTACCCTCAGTTTTGCGGATACACGCCACTGAGTGACGAAACAGTGGTTTTTGTGTTTCTCCTGCTTTACTACACAGCTCATACCTTCTTCGTCTTCTTTGTAACGTGAGCTAATATTTCATTATTATTATGAAGCTTTTTTGACATAGTTTGAGTGAGATTTAAATTAAATGTTTTCTGTCTTATCATAATGTTTAATCCTAGCAAAGGTTATGAAGGTTGACGGTTAAGTGTACCTTTTGCTTGAGTAAGTTTTAAAAGCTATTTCACTTTGAAAGGCCTGCCTCAGATGTATTCATATTCGAAAATTGCAGACTATAAAATCATACCAAAATCCTAATGCAATCTGCAAGACATGTTTTTAATTTTTCAGGTCACTACAACGGAACATGAAATCAGCTCCGGCAGTAATGATGTTCCTAACTTTTCTACAGTACCTTCCTTATATTGTCCTCGAGATCCCTCATCTCTCCAGGTTACAGATCAATGTTTTGTATAATTTGGATTTTTCATCGAGTACTTTTTTGAATCCTTTTTTGTGAAATGTCAGAAAAATTATGAATTATTATATATATGCTTTTAGTATCCTATTATTTTAGGAGTGTAAAGATGATTGTGTCTTTACTTCCGCTTTCGGGTTCTTCCATCGGATTGGTAACAATCGCCGAGTGGGAAAAGATTGGGGTAAGTAATTTATTGTACAGAATATTTACTGATGAATGATGAATGGTGATCTATTTATTTCGTGCCACCACCTTCAGAGTTCAGACTTTCTTTCCTTTTTTGTTTATGGTACAAAAATATTACATCCACTTCTGCTGCAATGTAAAATTTAATGCTTAATTTTCAACAGCTCGGAGCAAAGTGGAACAACTTAGGGGACAGTCTGAGCGTTCTTACAGCATTTTCAATATCTGACGTGATGCTTATGCTCTTAGTCGACATTTTCATCTACGGATTCCTTACTTGGTAAGCTCCATATTTTCTGGAGAGGGTAAATGATAACCAGATTACCGTTATTGTTTCAGATGTTTATTGTTTAACCCACTTAGTAATATAATTTAAATGATTCTTCATAAGATAAGCTTTGTGAAATAATGTAAGCTGTTTTATTCCGAGATTCTATGTTTCCCGCCCTTTAGGCGATTTATAAATTCCGCACGATGTTTGTCTTTTTATTTTCGACCCTCTGCCTTGAATTGTACAATTTAACAGAGAATCTGTTGAAACATTTGTTTAATCTTTTACATTAGTTGACAATTAGCATGTACATTAAGATGTGTAATTCGACACATTTTAATTGTAGCGAAGCCCGTTCACTGCAATATCACATGTTCAGACTGGAGGCGATGTTTTCGCTCAATTTGTAACGTATAGGTAACGTGCCCCCATTTCTTGCCCCCAAGTTGTAACGTCTGCCCCCATCATGATCTGACCTTGCCAATCTAATTAAGTTTCCTTGGTGAAACGATTTCTTGCTCGGTCGGATATACGTAATCGAATTATGCATACCAAAGACTGTAGTCCACAGGTCCACAGGTTAGTGCAAACAACAATACGAACCCGCGAACCGTGAAATAAACCATCTAGAAACCATTTATTCTGTTATAATGTAATACTGTTAGTGGAATAGTAGCAAGGACGATCTAAACCGCAAAACAAACCATCGAGAAACCATATTGGGGGTTTTTTTGATCGAATGTAACGTAATAAATATCTCTGCCCCCATTTACTAAGATGTAATATAAGGTGGTTATCAGTGGTTCTATCAGTACAAGTATTCTGTAATACTGTTAGTAGTTACTTGAGTAGTGTGAACAACAATATAAATTATGAAATAAACCGTTTGGAAACCATTTTAGGGTTTTTTTGATCGAATGTAACGTCATAAATATCTCTGCCCCCATTTACTAAGATGTAATATAAGGTGGTTATCAGTGGTTCTATCAGTACAAGTATTCTGTAATACTGTTAGTAGTTACTGGAGTAGTGTGAACAACAATATAAACTATCAAATAAACCGTTTGGAAACCATTTTAGGGTTTTTTTGATCGAATGTAACGTAATAAATATCTCTGCCCCCATTTACTAAGATGTAATATAAGGTGGTTATCAGTGGTTCTATCAGTACAAGTATTCTGTAATACTGTTAGTAGTTACTGGAGTAGTGTGAACAACAATATAAATTATGAAATAAACCGTTTGGAAACCATTTTAGGGTTTTTTTGATCGAATGTAACGTAATTAATATCTCTGCCCCCATTTACTAAGATGTAATATAAGGTGGTTATCAGTGGTTCTATCAGTACAAGTATTCTGTAATACTGTTAGTAGTTACTGGAGTAGTGTGAACAACAATATAAACTATCAAATAAACCGTTTGGAAACCATTTTAGGGTTTTTTTGATCGAATGTAACGTAATTAATATCTCTGCCCCCATTTACTAAGATGTAATATAAGGTGGTTATCAGTGGTTCTATCAGTACAAGTATTCTGTAATACTGTTAGTAGTTACTGGAGTAGTGTGAACAACAATATAAATTATGAAATAAACCGTTTGGAAACCATTTTAGGGTTTTTTTGATCGAATTTAACGTAATTAATATCTCTGCCCCCATTTACTAAGATGTAATATAAGGTGGTTATCAGTGGTTCTATCAGTACAAGTATTCTGTAATACTGTTAGTAGTTACTGGAGTAGTGTGAACAACAATATAAACTATCAAATAAACCGTTTGGAAACCATTTTAGGGTTTTTTGATCGAATGTAACGTAATTAATATCTCTGCCCCCATTTACTAAGATGTAATATAAGGTGGTTATCAGTGGTTCTATCAGTACAAGTATTCTGTAATACTGTTAGTAGTTACTGGAGTAGTGTGAACAACAATATAACTTATGAAATAAACCGTTTGGAAACCATTTTAGGGTTTTTTTGATCGAATGTAATGTAATTAATATCTCTGCCCCCATTTACTAAGATGTAATATAAGGTGGTTATCAGTGGTTCTATCAGTACAAGTATTCTGTAATACTGTTAGTAGTTACTGGAGTAGTGTGAACAACAATATAAACTATCAAATAAACCGTTTGGAAACCATTTTAGGGTTTTTTGATCGAATTTAACGTAATTAATATCTCTGCCCCCATTTACTAAGATGTAATATAAGGTGGTTATCAGTGGTTCTATCAGTACAAGTATTCTGTAATACTGTTAGTAGTTACTGGAGTAGTGTGAACAACAATATAAACTGTCAAATAAACCGTTTGGAAACCATTTTAGGGTTTTTTGATCGAATGTAACGTAATTAATATCTCTGCCCCCATTTACTAAGATGTAATATAAGGTGGTTATCAGTGGTTCTATCAGTACAAGTATTCTGTAATACTGTTAGTAGTTACTGGAGTAGTGTGAACAACAATATAAATTATGAAATAAACCGTTTGGAAACCATTTTAGGGTTTTTTTGATCGAATGTAACGTAATTAATATCTCTGCCCCCATTTACTAAGATGTAATATAAGGTGGCTATCAGTGGTTCTATCAGTACAAGTATTCTGTAATACTGTTAGTAGTTACTACTTACTGGAATAGTGTGAACAAAAAAATAAACTATCAAATATATCAAAACTATCCAAACCCTAAAATGGTTTCCAAATGGTTTATTTGATAGTTTATATTGTTGTTCACACTACTATACAGTAACTACTAACAGTATTACAGAATACTTGCACTGATAAAACCATTGAAAACCACCTAACATTACGTCTTAGTAAATGGGGGCAGAGATATTATTTACGTTACATTCGATCAAAAAAACCCTAAAATGGTTTCCAAACGGTTTATTTCATAATTTATATTGTTGTTCACACTACTCCAGTAACTACTAACAGTATTACAGAATGCTTGTACTGATAGAACCACTGATAACCACCTTATATTACATCTTAGTAAATGGGGCAGAGATATTAATTACGTTACATTCGATCAAAAAAACCCTAAAATGGTTTCCAAACGGTTTATTTCATAATTTATATTGTTGTTCACACTACTCCAGTAACTACTAACAGTATTACAGAATACTTACATACTGATAGAACCACTGATAACCACCTTATATTACATCTTAGTAAATGGGGGCAGAGATATTAATTACGTTACATTCGATCAAAAAAACCCTAAAATGGTTTCCAAACGGTTTATTTCATAATTTATATTGTTGTTCACACTACTCCAGTAACTACTAACAGTATTACAGAATACTTGTACTGATAGAACCACTGATAACCACCTTATATTACATCTTAGTAAATGGGGGCAGAGATATTTATTACGTTACATTCGATCAAAAAAACCCTAAAATGGTTTCCAAACGGTTTATTTCATAATTTATATTGTTGTTCACACTACTCCAGTAACTACTAACAGTATTACAGAATACTTGTACTGATAGAACCACTGATAACCACCTTATATTACATCTTAGTAAATGGGGGCAGAGATATTTATTACGTTACATTCGATCAAAAAAACCCTAAAATGGTTTCCAAACGGTTTATTTCATAATTTATATTGTTGTTCACACTACTCCAGTAACTACTAACAGTATTACAGAATACTTGTACTGATAGAACCACTGATAACCACCTTATATTACATCTTAGTAAATGGGGGCAGAGATATTAATTACGTTACATTCGATCAAAAAACCCTAAAATGGTTTCCAAATGATATATTTGATAGCTTATATTGTTGTTCACACTACTCCAGTAACTACTAACAGTAATATTACAGAATACTTGCACTGATAAAACCGCTGAAAACCACCCTAATTTTCATCTGTGTTAATTTAATTGTTGTATTAATATCTCTTCTTTATTGTCCTCCTGTTTGATAGCATGTTCAAAGGAGTGGTGACAGTCTTTGAGGAGTGTACACATTACAAATTAATCTTGTACCAGTTAATAACTGTGTAGTGTGTTGATATGTAGTAGATTGAATATAATAGATAGACTATAATAGATTAGTACTTTTAAATAGATTAAAACTACCGAAGAAGTGATATTCTGAAGATTAAAGCAAGATCTTTTCTTGGGTTTTAAGAGGATTTCAGATTTGTGCAGGGTAATTTGAACATGATTCCACGTTTTGGAAAATATAGTAACTAAAATGCACGCCCACACACCACACCCACTTCAGCCACGGGGTCAATATATATATATATATATGATATATATATTGATAATAATATCAGATGTGATCAATTTCACGATCAAAATCAACTATTCACGAACACTTGTTCGGCGAACAACTGTTCGCGAACAGTGGTCGTGCTATCTGGATACTGCCTCAAGTTCGACTCAATCCAACACATAGATTTTGCTCCAAATATTGTATATTTCTGTATTGGTACCGTATGGCGTATGAGATATCATGTTGATATATCTATAATATTAAAACCGTCTTATTCAGTGTTATAATAGTGATATCTTATTCCATGAGGGCAGAAATAATAAATACGTTACGGTGAAATAAACCATAAAATAATCTTTAGAACTACTCCATTAACAACTAACAGTACTTCAGAACAAATACACTAACTAAACCACCTTATATTGAATTATGTACATAAAATTACCGCGATTTCCTTTGTCAAAATTTGGAGAATTGGATGGCGGATGCACTATACTTCAATGCTCCGAACACATTCAGGTATCATGTAAACAGTAAAGATATAATCATCTGTGAATTAATTAAATTAGGGCGTGAAGCTGTGGCCTGGTAAGATATTGGACTAGTGCGTGAACTATTCTAAGATATAATCGAAATGTTTTAGGGAACGCGCATGCTCAACCTATATATGAAGGCAGATTCAGGATGGGGGCAACGTTACAACTCAGTGAAAACAATCCTCTGTCAGACTGCCAGTCAAAAGCAATCTGTCAAGTTTTGTAACGCGCGAATCATTGTAAGATGATGTGTACCGCGCTAAAATGCATATTATATGCGCGCAGCGCACGCAGTGCATGATATAATATGCAATGGCTGGCCGGCCGGAGTATTTACCTTATAGTCTGATCTGTTAAAAAAAGATAAACTCGTATTATTCATTACATGATTATGTGCACGAATATTATCAGCATGATAAGAAATGATTGCGTTAATCGTCTGATTATCGCCTCAAATACGTGGACGTCCTTCAGTAAAGTGGAGTAAAGTAGAATTAAAGAAAAGTGGAGTGAAAAGTAGAGAAAAGTCGATATAAGATAAACTTTTCACTATATTATAGTCCTGTCACTATAAAGTGCGTTTTGCACGCTATATAGTGACAAATATCAGCTGTCATTATAAAGTGCTTGTCACTATATAGTCCTGTCACTATATAGTGCGATTACCAAACGTGCACCGTCCGATAACCGCGGGATAATCGTCTTATTGCTAAATTTCTGCAACATTAAAATCCAAGAATTTTTCATTGTGATTAATTAATTGAATGTTTAGATTGTTTATCAATGCGACGTGATCTGATAATTTGATCCGATGCATATACCATATATACAGTGTCTTTTTTTTGAATTCTTTAATAAAACAACAGACATCTCACAAAATATATTGATTCTACGAATTTAATATTGGTATTGTTATTCGATAAATCGTATAATCGCATTTTCAATGTAATATGTTAGTGTCATTCACACGAACAACATAAATATTCTTTTCACAGATAAACTCGGTGTTATCAATCATACCGTATAACTCTGACAGAACCTCCAAGTACAACCAACATATCATTTAATGGTTTAAATTCTGACTTAAAGTAACTGCGGCTTGACAGGTCATAATCTGAACTATTATATATTATAACAACACAATATACCCTTGCCCTTGAAATCTGCCGGTAAAGAATAGGTAGGTCCCTAGAATGAGCAACATCGTGTAACACAATAACTGCTGGGTATTCTAATGAATAACAACTATCAAAATCACACCACTCTATTTTATTATTATCAAATACACTACATCGTTCTTCTATTACTTCTTGATCTTGTTTACTTGCAGCATATACTATACCTATTTTAATATTGTCTGTTTTACATAATTTATCTAGTTCTTCACTCAAGATACCAAACAAACTGCTCTCATAACTTGTCTTCTCAATAACATGGACTACAATCTGTTGTCCGTGAATATAGTGCCCTTGTTTTATTATTGGAATATTACCAACATCTATAAGTTCTCTTCCTTGCTGTAGAAGTTGTAGAACAATTTGCTCTCTGATCTTAGATAGAATGTCAGTAATGTCAGAAGTATTTCTTAAGTTCAGAGATAGAGTTACAATGGTTTTAGGGGGCAAGTTTGTTAAGGATGAGTAAAATCGTTTTCTGTAACTATAAGCTGATAATGTGAAGAAGTATGACTGAGCTAAATCACAAGTTATCACACAGTTAGTTAGTGCTCTGACAATCTGCAGTAAATCGAGCTCTGGAAACCTATGTCGGTTAACTGACGGACTCATCATACCCTGCAAGTCATCAATAAATACGTGTATGTTGCTTTCCATCAGTTTAGTCACTGTATTATGTGTGAAACGTAACAAATGTGTGATCCTAACTATTACCACCCTGATTTCACTTTCTAATACCCTCTGTACTGTGTACTCTGGATTGTTCGTGTAATCAACTATCATTTGGTTACTGATATCAGCTTTATGTAAAGCATCTTGATAATGTTTACATGAAATGTCATGCTTTGAGAAAATGAACAACACAGCTCTGTTATCCACATTTGATTTGATCACTTTTATGATTTTGGCCAACAAGATGATAGTTTTCCCTGAACCTGCTGGTCCATTAATTACCAGCAGATTCTGATCTCTGTTGAAAGCATCATGTTGTTCCACAGTCAAGTATTCTATACCGAGCATGTCTGTAAAAATGTTAATGCCACTGTCAATATTTGCAGACTTTATATCAGTTGCTTTTATCACATTAGGATTTGGTAGACGGTTTTTGCTGAGAAATGTAATATTTCCTTTCTTCAACTCGTCGTCAATGTCCATTATAGCTTTTCCCAAGCAACACTTCAGTTCATCACATAGGTTTTTATCAGTACAGTAGATAGCTACTAATACTTGCTTCATTTCCTTGTGTTTAGCGAGAAAAGCTTCAGTTTGAACAAAGCTAGATATCGGACCTAACACGTCATGTTGTTTCCACCAGCTTGAGAAATCTAGAAAGTCCTCTTTGCACAATATCTGCTTATTGGTCTGTTCATCCATGTTCTGAAATAGATCACGACTTGTGCTAGGAAACGCGGACAGGCATATTATTGAGCATTGATCTGCTTCCAAACCAACGAAAACTTGATGTACAAGACCATTTATCAATGATTTTGTCTTTTCAAGTTGTTCGAGTGAGCCTTTAAGTGCTCCTGTCAATTCCTTTCTCTGCTCATCTGTTAATTCACTATCTTCATCAATTGGGACATTCTTCACTTCAATAATGACAACATAGTTTTTCCCGATAAGAACAAAGTCACATTCTGTTTTATCTGCAGCCTTACCTTTACATCGCTTGCAGTTTTTTCTGTCATGACTTTTATCACAAATTCGGTACTGATGATGGGTGTACTTGAAGCTATGAAGAACCACACACCTTTCCTCTGTCAATCTCTCCAATGCTCTGTATGTCAGCACCTCAGCCTCATAGTTTGCTTGTTTACATCTCTCGTCATCAAATTTACTGCTGGATGCTCCCTCTTCGTCGATGTAAACATCAATGTAGGTCTGTTTGGGGGCAGGTGGTAACATAATCGGAGATTGGTCTTTAAACTCGCAATACTTTTTACAGATTTCTCTGCCTTTGTTTCTATACTCTTCCAGCGTATTCATTTCTGTAAAAGTTGAATGAAATCAAACATTGTAAGTTGTAGAACCCTACAATTATAATGGAGAGTCTAGTACAGTGGCTACCCGACCGGAGATAAATGTATCAATAGTATCAATTCTATAAGAACTGCTAGATTTTATAGCATAAATCATAATAGACCTTGTTAATGTTTTACTACAAAAAGTCATGAATAATGAATATAGATATAAGTATGTACCGACCGCAAGTTGTTTTTTCTCTATCTGTACCCGATTGATCTCCTTTTTGTTTCCCACTCTGCTTTCCTTTCCCCATCTTGATGTTATATCGGTTTGTAACGAGTTTTGAGGACTAACTTTTCTGAAAAATGTTTACCAATTTAGCAAAATTTAATGTGATCACAAGGGGATCACAACTTGTACACGGCAGCTTTTTACCAGAGACTATATTGATATTTACAGCTATTTGGCTAATATTATAAACCTCTGATATAAGATATTGAATCTTTTTAAAACTCACACAATCTATCCTTAATCCGTATCGTTCCTACCTTACTTTAAAAAGTGAACAGTTCGTCTCAGATGTAGACAAAGTGAGGAGGAGGAGGAGGGTAAAATCAGGCGAATATCACAGAAAAAGAGAAAATAAGAAGTATGATAGTAACAGTTAAGTAACTAAAATAGGCATCCAGTTCGAACAGAGTCTGCTGAGAAACAAACTGCAGATCAGCACAATAAGAATTACGTAAGAGAGAACGGAGTTTGCGAAGCTAATGTAAGGATGTAGATTGTAGGACCCTAATAACAGAATAGGATAATGTGCGTCATAGTAGCAGGGGTGTAGGAATGATTTTCTTCATGGGTGGGGGGGGGGGGGGGGCCAAATTCTAAATATTTTTTTCGAGGGTAAGGACAAAAGGAAATTGCAGCATGTGCGGTATCGCGATTTTTCACGATGCCAACAAGTCGCGATTTTTCAGATCCTGGCCTCACGACAAATTGCGATTTTTTCAGTTCTCCGCGTCAAATTGTGCATTTTCCTTTAAATCTGAGGACTAAATTCGCGTATTTTCCTTCAAATCTGTGGGCCAAATATCACGTTTTCTATAATTAGTATATGAAACCAATCAGTATCACATCCACAACCTTCCGAATGTAGGAACGGACTTCAAAAAACCGAAAAATATATTTTCGGCTCAGAATGATCAGGGTAGTATGAAACATGAACAAAAGTGGTTTCCAGAAAAACTTTGAAAAATTTTGACTTAGATTTACCATCTTTGTACCAGTAATTAACAAAACCTGGTAGTATTGCTCTAAGACTCATTTTTTGTTTTACAAATAGTGTTTCTATATGGGATTTGGCAGCAAAACCCCAGACGAGGGAGCAGTAATTAAGGTGAGACTGCACAAAGCTGTGATATATTTGTAAACGTGCTTCCAGAGGCAAATATTTTTAAGTTTGTACATGACTCCAATGTATCTGGCCATTTTCATTTTCATGGCAGAAATATGTTGCAACCAGTTCAGTTTGTTATCTATTATAACTCCTAAGAAACGGGCTTCTGTTTTTCTTTCGATTGTGACACCAGAAATTACTACATCGCGATAAATGAGGTTTCTTTGCCGAGAAAAGATCATATAATTCGTTTTTTAAAGATTTAGAGCTAATCCGTTGTTATCTACCCATTTAACTAAGACATCGCTAAGAATTTTGAGCTTTCACACGTTACTTTCTAACTTTACTCACAATCACGTGACCCAAAACCAACAGGTACATTGAAAACGTGTTTCCTGGAGAATTCGGAGTTCCAAACAAACCGTTCTTCTTTTTAACAAAAAATTACTGGTTCGGAAATAAACAAACATCAAATGACGTAAGTATGCTCTTTCTTGATTTGGTCATTGTCTCTTTTCAATTCATGACTACAGACTAATGTCTAGCTTTAAATCTCTAACATAATTTGTTGTGCGTTTAAAGAGATGTGCATTTTTTCGGTTAACCGTCATCAGTACCCTTGTAACTGTCTCCCCAGGCGTATCGTTATTCAGCCCCCCTGTAACTGACTACCCAGGCGTATCGTTATTCAGCCCCCCTGTAACTGACTACCCAGGCGTATCGTTATTCAGTACCCTTGTAACTGTCTCCCCAGGCGGATCGTCAAACTGAGGACATACCACTTCTCCCAACCTAGGTATGGGCCACAGCTACATGTACCTTAATACAAGTGGCAACACTTCTGGCAGCCAAGACCCAGCCAGGACAAAAGCCTCCATCACGCAGACGTCGTTTGCGATTTTGAGCTACTTAAAACCTTTTGATTGCAGTGAAGGACACAGAGGAACGGATTATGGAAGCAATACTGATGACGAACTGGACCTAAAATCTTGCACACAACCACCACGATGAAGACAGGGGTGATGATGTTGATGATGACGAAGAGGAAGTTGATGATGAGGTTGAGAATGTAAAGGAAGAGGTTTCAGAAGAGTGGGCTGAAAAGAAACAAGAGTCTATTCTAATTTTACTTGATATATTATATTTATTGAAATAAACATATATATCCAATACTCCAGGGAGTGATGACAGGGACAACGCAAGCGTTATGCCCGGGCTTGTATAATAAGTCACTGGTACAGCTCATATAGAGTATTGTTTCGAAAGCATGATGAAACTGTCCACTGTATCCTTGGATTGGAAGGTGATCGCCAGAGAGCTTCACCGTATGAGCGATGATTGGGCCTCATGACCTACAGAGAGAGACTGGGATTACTAGAAGCTCAAAACCTTGCTTGAATGTAGGGTCCGTTTGGATCTCATTGAGATGTTCAAGATCGGAAGGCTTTGTGATTATGTGTCCTGATATATTGGTCGTGTGAGCTGGTAGGACTGTTCTCTGCTAGGTCAAAGCCACCACAGATTAACCACAAATGAGAGTGACTTCTTTTGCCCAAAGGGTCTTGCGCTAGCTGGAACATCTACCACCACTTGTGAAAGCTAGTATAGTCGGTTACTGTAGATAGCTCGCTCAAGGGGATTAGATTGCCTTTCCCCGTCAGGATATCAGGCAAATAAGCTTGCCACTACTGGGAACTGTCATATGACATCTTTGATAGGAAGTATGGGTCCTGTGTCAATAGGAATTTTTATAGGCAATTTTCTTAATATTTATAGGAATTATGTCGTCTTCAATTTGATAGGCTGATGAGTTTTTCATACTGAGATTTTCTTGTAATCCTAAGCATTTTATCAAGTGAGCCTCTGTCAGTCAGCCTTCTGCGGGCGGCGCGAAAAATGGCATGCAAGGTATGTCATCGACAGATTTAATTTACAGTTATGAACTTCTGTTTTCTTAACCAGTTTCTAACTTAGAATGATGCTCGTTCAAAAATCATCTTGTATTATACCTAGTAAGTTAGAATTCGTGGTCACTCACCCCGTCTAACCGTTATAATGGGTTTTGCCTTATGTTAGGGCAATCTTATAGCTACGGACTGTTTTATCATCGATAAGAAAGCAATGTGGCAAAGTAATTAACCACCTAGAATTACAAGCAAAATGTGTATGTGTGTTTGAAACAATGCCCCCAGGCCATTAAAGATTAATGTCAAAGGCCCTCTGTAATTACACATAAAATGTCTTGACCCCTTGCCGCTTCTGTGGAATATTGGCCCTACGTGTATTTTAAATAGGCTGGGGCCTTTGCTAACACTACAACTAATATTAGTGTCTTTTGATGCATAGACTTGGTGTCCGTACTGTACCCATTGGTAGTATTTTTATCCCTGACTTATTTTAACATACTGCTGCAGAAATACATTAAATGGTGTCCTGGCATGTTTTGTTTGTATACACTTGCACTGTATAACAATCTCTGCTTTTTCTATTTTAGCTCACAGGATCTAGTTTTATATAGAGCTCCCCCCATTCGTAATGTTATTTGCCACTGTATAGGAGGAAATGCTTGAAAGCAACTATAGTTAAAACTGTAGTAACTATAAACGTAGAACGAGCCTAGAACAGTTATAGCTAACTAAGTAGTAACCGTAGTCCAAATGGTATCCTCTCAAAATAATCCAATTTGTTCAATTATGTCCCAATTTTATAACGTTTTACAACAGGGAACCTTATGCCACTGGTTACGTCCAGTAAAAATGTTGGACCCTAACCAAACATATGGCATGTCGATTTCTATCCACATGTACACCAGCGATGCAAGCTGAAGTATAGGCAAATCTGGATAGAACAAATAACGTTGAATGGTGCATAAACCTCATCATTGGATAATCAGCAAATTTACAATGTTGAGGTATGGTGCCTACAATTCCATAGAATAATTCAAGATTTAAAAAATCAAACTGGGTGTACGAATCATGTGAACAGCCCAAAGAAATCAAGACATGTACAAGAATACTCCCGTCCTGCTCCTAAGATCCAATAGTCACTCACACATGCAATAATCGATCAATCCTTATAAGGACAGTACACATATCATGGTTTTCATGCTGTTATAGCCACTGGTGTTATTCATGTTAATATATTGAACTTTACTGCTGGTATGGCAGAGAACTGAAGCTAAGTTCAGCAGAACTGAAAAATAACAGTTATTGGAAATAAAGCGTCCCCCACCAGAGTAATTTATTTATATCATATGTGGAGACACATTTTAATGTAACTAACGAAATGAAGTTCTAGGTAATGTACATGACCATACGATAAATGTCAAAACTTTAGTACTTATACTTTAATAGCTATGAAAATAGCATTGAAAAGGAACACCTGAGGGAAAGGGAGAGCTTCAGGCCCTTGTTTGCACGCATGAAGAATGTGATTAAAGAATATCGCATACAGTTGCCACATGTCTGTGAGGAGTACCAAAATTGCTCACTGTACATGTCCAGGTTTGTTTAATAAAGTTTATAAGACTAGGTCTGTAAAAGCACCTTGTTGTAAAATATGGGTTTTCCTATTTCATAAATTAGACTCGGTTAAAAAAAACTACAGTACGTAGTAGTTAATACAATAATAATCTTTGTGAGACGTCAGGTTACAATAGTTTAACCATCTGGCCATTTACCCTTAAATAAGATAATCGATATTTTAATCATTACTGGAAAAATACCATTTATTCCATTTCTTTAGAGGAAAAGGTACATGAAGAGTCCTCAAGACGAACAGTGGGGATAGTAACTAGTAGAGAACAAACCATACACTGACGGACCAGGAGGCGAGGGGCACAGTACGCGGGCTAAAAAAATAGTACCACATAGCGGACATGTTCCTCAGTACCATAAAAGTAAGTTCGCTGGCATGTCAGCATGTTCATTGTACATCATCAGTTTCAGTAAGTAAGACACGCTCATTTGTATATTTCGCTCCGTACCCTCCATCGAGAAGTAGAAAAACGGTTTATTTTTGATCCTTTTACTGTATAAAAATTTGACTGTGTGTAACGAGGTTTTATTCAGACGTTTATACCCAAGTCGCGCGGTCACTGCACGAAGAGGCGTGAATAGCCAACCCCTATGCACGGACAAGTTCTCCTCGAGTTTGTACCTAGATTTGTCCTGGATATCGAGAGCAATATGTAGCTTTGACTTGTGGAACACAGGTTACTGTTCATCTGCTTTTTTAGGTTAATTTGTATCTGTACGTGTTCATTATAATTGTAGTGGAGAGAACAATAATGTGGAAATTCGATTCGTTCCACTTTAATCTGCTTAGTGTACAAGTTTTAGCTTTCGCCTCTAGCTGTATTATGGCGTTATAAAGTATAAGTTATAAAACAACAGGACCTCTAAGTCTTTTGTCAGTCAACTTAGATGATAGATACACCACGTTATGCCATTGTACATAGAATAGAATAAAATGAATTAGGAAAGAGTGTTTTAAAAGCGAATCCTAATGATTCCAAAGCTGGGATTCTATCACTATGTCCACTCCCATCCACAATATAACCTTATCAACCATCAGCATCCCCCCAATGTTCCTTTAGATTTACTGCGTGCAATTATTGAATACACAGAGGGGGGCCCGTGAAGCATAGCCCAGTTCGTGCGACGGTGAGAAATAGACTTTAAATACAGCAGCTGTTCGTTTAATTAACTGAAATGCTATGTCCATCCAGAAGATGGTTAAATTTCGACGAAGTTGCTATTTGGCTAGATTCCATTGGTACGATTTCGCAAGATTCTCAGGCTGTTAGAAAATTGCAATGAAACAACATAATTTATCTATATAATATTGTGGATTTTACACTTACCCGATGACAGTAATTGTGTTTCCAACGTGTTGAGAACATTAAAGGTAGGCAAAGTTTTCGAGCTGTCAGCCTTTCAAAACTGATAGTTGGTCAGAGCCGGTTTTATATTTTGTATTTGCAGTATATTCTCCGCGCACTCCCTGACTCTCGACGCAACGGTCTCTGACGTCACAGACCCTGCAATTTTGCCCACGTGATTTAACTTGTGCACGTGACCACAGTAACGAGACCAGCACGTGCCTGCAGACAATAACTGATCATGTTTCATTGCCATATGCGTCGCAGGTGTTTTATGACATATCAGCTAAGGCTCCATAAAAGCAATTGCAATTTAGGCGAATTTGGGATGGTAACTATCGTGGAGTAGTTTGTGCACACCGGTTGTCAATGAGCTAGATTAATAGCATACAGGCTGTTCTGTTCTGAAGTAAATATAAGCTGCATGACGTTGCAGTCTATAATAGTTTGCGCTCAGTGCACAAGCTTAATTATAATTAGCGCCAGTCACTGCGGGCAACATAAACAACCATCTGATTGCAGGCGCTACATACAGGCATTCCGCACCAAATTACTGCATTCCGAGACAACGATTCCTGGAATTTGTGGAGGTTCTAAATATTTTAATACCATGCATATATCCTCGACATCCTTTTTATCTCGACACCTTCAAATAATAGGAACCGTATAAGAAGCGGAGACGACAAGAGATAATGTCACCGGTATAAGTCAGTACAGTATGTTCACCTCGAACCACCATATCCTAACTGAAGAGTCTTGATCAGTGCTACTAATACTGTCACACATGGCCTCATGTTTATTGTTTAATGATAGATATAATATATAGAACAAGTAACCAGTTGTGTCATGTATAATGACATGTTCTCAACCTGGGATAACTGTTGTAAAAATAGTTCATCTGAAAGCCAGAAAGA